TTGTCAAATGCCTTGCTGAAATCAAGGTAGGCTACATCCACTGCGTTCCCTTCATCTACCAGGCTAGTAATTCTGTCAAAAAACGAGACCAGGTTAGGACCATAAGGTCCACAAATGACAACACTTTGGAGGTTCCAAGTCACAAGGTGGTTAGGTTGGTCTCAACTAGGGCCAGGGCCTTTTCAGCACTGGCCCCGACTTGCTGGAATGCTCTGTCACAAGATACTGGGGCCCTGCATGACTTGACATCTTTCCACAGGGCCTGCAAGACAGAGCTGTTCCGCATGGCCTTTGGTTTGGACTCAGTCTGACCCTTATGTTTCCCTCCCTGAGAGCCAGTGTGGTGTAGTGGTTAAAAGCGGTAGACTTGTAATCTGGGGAACCGGGTTCGTATCTTCGCTCCTCCACCTGCAGCTGCTGGGTGACCTTGGGCCAGTCACGCTTCTCTGAAGTCTCTCAGCCCCACTCACCTCACAGAGTGTTTGTTGTGGGGGAGGAAGGGGAAAGGAGAGTGTTAGCCGCTTTAAGACTCCTTTGGGAAGTGATAAGGCAGGATATCAAATCCAAACTACTACTACTACTACTACTACTACTCTTCTTCTTCTTCTTCTTCTTCTTCTTCTTCTTCTTCTTCTTCTTCTTCTTCTTCTTCTTCTTCTGGTTTTGATCTGTGGGCTACTTTTAAAATGAGGCAGCATTTTAAATTGTATTTTAATCTGTACAGTGGTACCTTGGGTTACATACGCTTCAGGTTGCAGACTCCGCTAACCCAGAAATATTACCTCGGGTTAAGAACTTTGCTTCAGGATGAGAACAGAAATTGAGCAGCTGCGGCGCAGCGGCAGCGGGAGACCCCATTAGCTAAAGTTGTGCTTCAGGGTAAGAACAGTTTCATGTTAAGAACAGACCTCCGGAACGAATTAAGTTCTTAACCCAAGGTACCACTGTATTTCAATTTCAATTTGTTTTCCTATTGTGGCTTTATTGTAATTGTACTTCTGTTAGCTGATCTGAGCCTGGCTCTAGCTGGGGAGAGCGGGGTATAAATAAAATTTATTATTCTTATTCTTATTCTTACTACTACTACTACTACAATTATTACTCATGGAGGGGTGGGCAGGGCTGATCCAAGACATTTTGGCATCTGAGGCAAACCCCAGGGGCAATGGTGGTATTGTTCTGTGATTGCTGGTGCCATAAGGTGATTCAGGGCTTATTCACACCCCTGGCTTATCAACACTTCCTGCCAGAGCAGTACTATTTATCTACTTGCACTTTGACGTGCTTTCAAACTGCTAGGTTGGCAGGAGCAGGGACCAAGCAATGGGAGCTCACCCCATCGGGGGATTCGCATGGTGTCCAGAACTGAACACAGTATTCCAGGTGTGGTCTGTCCAAGGCAGAATGGAGCACGACTACTACTTTCCTTGATCTAGACCAGTGGTGGCCAAACTTGGCCCTCCAGCTGTTTTTGGACTACAACTCCCATCATCTGTAGCTAACAGGACCAGTGGTCAGGGATGGTGGGAATTGTAGTCCCGAAACAGCTGGAGGTTCAAGTTTGGCCACCACTGATCAAGACAGTATAATTCTGTTGATGAAGCCTAGAATAGCATTGGCTTTTTTTTTGCTGCTGCATCACACTGTTGACCCTGTTAAACATGTGATCTACTACGGCCCCTAGATCTCTTTCACATGTACTACTGACAACCCAGGTGGCCCCCATCATATATTTGTGCTGCTGGTTATTCCAGCCTAAATTCTCTCTGAATTGCTATATGGTGCCACTGAACTTACACTTTCAGCCAACCCACATTTAATTTTTCTGTCACCTTTTTTTAAACTAAAGCATTCTGGTTCCATCCTGATTCAAGTGGAGCCCATCCCTTTTGTACAGGCCCAGGTTGCCCCAGAATGTTCCCCAGTGCAGAACAAAACCAAACTCCTCCTCTGAACGCTATCATGTCATCCACACATTGAGACCACACAGCTCTGCCTGTCTGTCTGGCCATGCATATGAAACTGGTAGTATTTCAGAGAAGGCTACCTTGGAGGTCCTGACTTTCAGCATCCTTCCCAGCATCCTAAATTTGGCTTCCAGGACCCCTAGACTACATTTCTCCATGTCACTGCTGCCAACATGCACTGGGGCCACTGACTCCTTCCTAGCACTGTCTGCCAGGCTATCTAGCCAATGAGCAACATCCATAACCTTCGTTCACCTCTTGGTTGATCGCACACCCAACTATCTATATGTTGATCTATATTCTTTACTACCATGATCCCACCACCCACAGGAGAGGCATCTTCCCACAAGAGGCAGTGAAGACCACCATCCTGGATGGCTTGAAAAGAGGATGAGATACATTTGTGGAGAAGACTGTTGATGGATTCTAGGCAGGATGGCTCTCCTCTGCCTCCTCCACTGAAGGCAGCAATGCTTCTGAATACCAGCTACTGGAAAACACAGAAGGAGAGACCATACTGATGCTCAGGTCTGGCTGGCCACTGTGAGAAGAACACGATGCCAGGCTAGATGAGCCATGAAATGATCTTCTTATGTTCTGATGTTCCTGATTTCCCCTCTGGAGTTAATAGCATACCTCTGGAGTTTGGAGTTCGGGGGCATATGAACATTCCTTTAGTTACATGTGAGTTTTGCTTCTTTGAACCTCTTTCAAGCAAATAAATATCTGGGCAATTAGAATGTTTTTTGTTGTTGTTAAATTTGTAACAGCCTCCTCAGTCTCCAAAGCTACTTGCATTTTTCATTGCTTTGGCCCTGCCCAGATCGGTCAGAAGACTTTTCTTAACAGCCAATCTTTGCAAACAGCAATTCATTTCCTCCCCCACAATACACACTCAGGAACACACTTCCGCAGAGAAGCAAACATGACTTTTGCTTGCAGATGCTTCCTCTTCAGAATGTTGCTGTACTTTCTTCTGGGTAAGTCACGCACTGCTTTGTTCTGAAGAGAATGATCATCTCACAAGAACTCGATTCAGCAGCTCGTCGACCACGTAACCTTCAGATAAAGGCAGAGATTAATCTACCTGCAATCAAGAAAGTACAACTTACAAAGGAGAACAATGCATCACTCCCTATAAGGAAAAACATGCCCAAGGAAACCTCATCAGGCTTTTGGTCCAAAATGAGATACTTAGATGAAGCGGAATTAGGCTACAACCAGGTAGAATACCCCCAGGAGGAGGCCTTGTATAGCAAAGGCCCAGTGTCTACCAATGTGAGCACTCTACATTTACCATCTGACACCATAGAACACCTGGGCAGCTCTCCATGTAAGGTGACAGACGGCTGCCACGCAGAATGGTAAACTCCAACAGTACCTTGGAAGATAATTGACAAGGAGTAGATTTTGGTAAAGCCAACCTTAGCTTTTTATCATGGAATATCGCAGGATGGCAAAAAAAGGCAGCTGACCCATCCTTTGTTAAATTTATCCAAGGCTACGACATAGTATTTTTACAGGAGACATGGCTCACAGGAGACCTAGAAGTTAACGGCTTTTCCTCAATGTCCCTCACAGGATCCCCAAGCACTAAAGGGGGGAGAGTCAAGGGTGGCCTAGGCATTTTAATATCTACAAGGTTGAGGGCGTCCTTAGTAAAGCTAGAGACACTGAAACACCTGGCTATGGCCTTACTAGTGAAAAGTAGATTCTTCACCCTGCTACTGATTAATGTATATCTTCCCCCCCAAAGAGGCAAGCAGCAGATTAAAAACACCTGGCATGGGCTGGAAACATACATTGATGGTTTGATGACTCAACCCCTGCAGCTTCAGTGCTAGTGGCTGGTGATCTTAATGCCAGAATTGGCCAGTCTGACGAAGCACTATATGCACACTTCCACGACTCGCCACCCATCGTGGAAGAAAACCACCTTATACCCACCAGACTCTCAAAAGACAAGGGATGTAATTATGCAGGTCTGTGCCTGTTGCGTCTTTCTAACAAGCTGGACCTGGTCATACTAAATGGGCGCAAGAATGGGGAGACCTGTGGGGAATTTACTTTTATATCAAATGCAGGAGCTTCCACTATCGACTATGTTATGGTATCATTTAATCTCCTAAATAGAGCCCTTGAGTGCAAAGTGGAGGAGAGGGTTGATAGTGATCATTTACTACTCTGCCTCCTCCTGGATGCAAAAAAAGACTTATTTTGCAACGATAAACTTGAAGCCCCCAGGTCCTCCAACATGGAGTTGAGATACTCACGTATTAGATGTTAGGTGTGACCGACAGGGCCACCTATCCAAGGAAATCCAAATCCATCAGGGGGTCAGGCAAGGGTGTGTCCTTGCGCCTACTTTATTTAACTTCTATATCAACTCGCTAGTAGGAAATATGGAGAAAGAAAATGCCCATCCCCCAAATTGGCTGGTACGCCCTCCCGGTCCTTTTATATGCGGATGACACAGTTTTAATTTCTTTTTCTTGTGTTGGATTAAGAAAACTTTTGAGATCTTTCACCAAATACTGCAGCATCGAACAATTAACAATTAACTACAACAAATCCAAAGTCATGGTGTTCTCTAAAAAAAGGAGGAGGTACAAATGGAGAATAGACAATCGCTTAATAGAACAGGTAGCAACCTTTTAAATACCTGGGTGTAACCTTCCAGGAAAGGGGCTCCTGGCGCTTTCAGATTAATAATACTATTGCAAATGCAGAAAGATCTACCAAAGCGTTAATAAGATTCTTCTATGGGAAAGGGGGCCAATACATACCGGCAGCCTCCCAGGTCTTTGCTGCCAAAATACTATCACAATTGTTATATGGATCCCAGATCTGCAGCTTTAAAAACCTTACTCTCTTAGAGGCATTTCAAACTAAGTTTTTCCGCTGCCTGCTGGGGATCCCCTCTTGCGTATCCAACATAGCTGTCCGTTTGGAGGTTGGGCAATTTCCTATCAGTACTCGGATATGGATATTGAAGATCCATTATTGGCTAAAGCTTATTTTCTTCCCGGTTGGGCTGGCACCTTTAACCTTATTAGATACCTACCAATCCACAGGGAGAAGGGTCGATGGAAGAAGACTGGAAAAAATTCAAAATATATCTTCAAAAATACTGTAATATAAAAGAATGTTGGAAAGAGGTTGGAAAAAGAATATTAGGTCATTTTGGCAGATATGATATAATGGACTAAGTAAAAATGAGGTGTGGAAATCGATGAAATAGAGGAGGTTTAATTACATTATTTTAATTTTAAAATACGTAAATGAAAAGAAGGTTTGAAGGATTTGCTGGAAATACGATCTGAAATAGAATACAAAATTGGGAGGTGAGAGGAGGTCATGGAAATAAGTAAAGGGAAAAAGGCTAAGTAAAGGTTTAATCTGTTTTTTGTCTTATTTTAACTTAATGTATTTTTATATTTTTTGTTAAGTCTTCTTTTATATTCTATCTTATTGTTCTTTTTTATTTGTTCATTCTACGCTTTGTTACGGTTAAAGTTTTCTTTGTATTTTGTATGGGTTTTTCTTTTTCTGTTTTGTAATTTTAAATTTGGAATAAATATCATTTAAAAAAAAAAATAGATACCTACCAATCCAAATGGAAAGCTACACTGCTGGAAAAGCTTAAAGGCTTGGGGATCCCACAGCAGACCCTGACAGCGACAGGCTTCGAGAAAGCTAGGACTACAATTCGCCAGCGTATCTGGGACGTAGAATTACAATGCCACATGAGCTAAATGATCAAACATCCAGCAATAAGGGACCATGGGAGAGGTTTCTCTCCAGCTAACTATCTGTCAGGTCTTCAGGTACCCAAATACAGACGGTCTTTTACCCTCGCCAGATTCAACGTTCTCCCTTCTGCCTTACTTCAGGGCAGATTTGAGGGTAAACCATACACAGCACGGGTTTGCCCCTGTGGCTCATTGGAAGTTGAAACTGCTTCACATGTACTATTACGTTGTCGTCTTTATGAGGATATACGTTTGACTTTTATTACACCTGTTTTGCAAAAGTCCAGGAAAGAATCGGAACACCATAGTTTAAAACTACTGCTAGAGGACAAGAATCCCAAGACTACATTAAATGTAGCCAAATTCTGTGCGTCTGCAATTAATCGCAGGAAGCAAGTGGTATCCCATAATGACCAAACCCCCAAATGTTAATTACAGGGGGCACGCTAATAATTAATTTTAATTATTTATATTTAAATCCTTGTTATACTCATATTGTCCTCTGTATTTCTGATTCTTTTTTAATGATCTGTGATATTGTGTGTGTTGACGCTGGACTATGACCGTAGTAACAAATTCATTCATTCATTGCTTTGGCTCTGCCCAGATTGGTCAGAAGACTTTTCTTAACAGCCAATCTTTGCAAACAGCAATTCATTTCCTCCCCCACAATCCACACTCAGGAACACACTTACGCAGGGAAGCAAACATGACTTTTGCTTGCAGATGTTTCCTCTTCAGAAAGTTGCTGTACTTTCTTCTGGGTAAGTCGTGCACTGCTTTGTTCTGAAGATCTGCGCCAGCAGCTTGTGTTTCCAGAGGCTGGGGAAGAGACTGGCCATTGTTATCCTCCCCGACATTTGCCTCTTGCAGCTGCCGGACTCCTCTGGAGAAGGATTTGGGAGCCAGCTGTATGCCATCTTCCCCTCCTCTCTGAACTGCATTTAAGCCATGCTGCCTGGAGAGTAGCAATACCAGTGCCAGAAACTTCATTCTCCGTTAACTTTTGTGTTGCTTTGTATCGATGTACTTAAGTTTCAAATTTTTTTTGGGGGGGGGCAATTTTGAATTTATTCTGTGTTTGCCAAATTGTTTATTTCTGTCATTTTTAAATTTACTGTCATATTCTGTATTTCGTACATTTGTATTTTTGATGCTCTGTATTTTGATGTTTTGAAAGTTTGCTGTGAGCCACTTTGGGCTCAGCTCCTTGCGGAACAGACGCATATCAATCAATCCCAGTCAAGAGAGAAGTAACTGAGAAAGCTGCTTACTGGTTACTAGCACTTTTTTTCTGTGGGGACGCAGGGTTACACATACCCCTAAACATTTTGTGAATCTAGGTTTGGCTTCATTGGGGGCCAAATTTCAATATGAGCAGGAAAATGAGAGTACCTCTAAACATTTTTTTAAAGAAAAAAAGCACTGTTGGTCACTGGAACCCAGTTCCCCATGAGGGTGGGGCAATGCCACAGTGATCTTTGTTATTCAGCTCAGTTTGTAGTAGAATCTGCACATATGACGAAGGTGGAAGTTAGAGAGCCCAAACCATAGGTGGTGCCAGAGTCAATGATAGGTAGAGCCAACTAATTCTAGTTCTGTTTCTGTCTGCGATACTAAGAGCTACAAGTGTAACACAGATACTAAGGAGGAGGCAGCACCAGGGCTACTTTAAAGTAAAAAAAGAAGATGGCTAAAGACAGGCTGAAGCTGGCAAAGGCAGTGCCCCACTCACCCTCAGGGAACAGTCTCCACTCCTGTGAAGTGTTGCTGCACATTTGCAACTGTTTCTCTTCTTTGCAAAGGTTTTGCAGGACTCCGAAAGGTTGGTGATCTCCAAATGTTGGTGAGAATCTCATAATAATAATAATAATAATAATAATAATAATAATAATAATTTTATTATTTATACCCCGCCCAACTGGCTGGGTTTCCCCAGCCACTCTGGGCAGCTTCCAACCGAATATTAAAAACAATACAGCATCAGACATTAAAAACTTCCCTGAACAGGGCCACCTTCAGTTGTCTTTTAAAAGTAAAATATTTGTTTATTGCCTTGACATCTGCTAGGAGGGCATTCCACACGGCAGGCACCACCACCGAGAAGGCCCTGTGCCTGGTTCCCTGTAACTTCACTTCTCACAGGGAGGGAACCGCCAGAAGGCCCTCGGAGCTGGACCTCAGTGTCCTGACAGAGTGATGGGGGTGGAGACGCTCCTTCAGGTATACAGGACCAAGGCCATTTAGGGCTTTCAAGGTCGGCACCAACACTTTGAATTGTGCTCGGAAACTGGGAGCCAATGAAGATCTTTCAGAAGATCTTTCAGGACTGGTGTTATACGGTCTCGGCGGCCATTCCCAGTCACCAGTCTAGCTGCCGCATTCTGGAGTAATTGCAGTTTCTGAGTCACCTTCAAAGGTAGTCCCACGTAGAGCGCAGTAGTCCAACACCTAATCTTAACAGAACAGAACAGAAACCTTTAACAGGCACACAAGCAGGAGTACAACAGGTGTGCATTGCTAAAACACATAGAAGCACCCTGAGCTCACAACTCTTTCTCCTCCTCCACTGCTCCTTGCTTGGAATTACCTTTGTACTTGTAACAATGTCCTTCTCCTACAGGAAAGGACCATGTTAGGATAGCTAGGAGAATGTAATAAATGTAATGTAATAAATGTTTAACTCAGGAATCCCCAACCTCCAGATGTTTGGCCTACCACTCCCATGATCCCTAGTTAACAGGACCAGTGGTCAGGGATGATGGGAATTGTAGTCCAAAACATCTGGAGGGCCGAAGGTTGGGGTGCCTGGTTTAACTAGAGAGTTGAGCAGTTCAAGTGGGTTGATGTACAATTCAGCAACAGTTAAGATTAATCGTGGAAATTGTAAACTTCCTTTCATTTAGGTCCCAAATACCTGGGAGACTACTTGCTTCCCCATAGACCATCTCAGCTGTTAAAACCAGCAGAAGGGGCACGCTTGGTAGTTTCCACTGCCTCAAACATTTGGGGGGGGGGTTGTCAGCCCAGGAGAAAACCTTCTTTGCAGCAGGCTGCTAAACTGTAGAATGATGTCCCTCCACACAGAGATGCACCCGGAACTTTTATTGCAGAATTTCCATTATATGCCAAAGATTCATTCCTTTACCCTACCTGGACATCTGCAATATCATTCCTATTACATTTTAATGCTGCATTTTAAATTATTGTAACCTGCTCTGGGAACCTTACGAAGGAGGATGGATAAGGAGTTAAAAACGTTAATGGTTCTAATTTTCAACTTCTTCTTCTTCTTCTTCTTCTTCTTCTTCTTCTTCTTCTTCTTCTTTCTTTTTCCCCACCACCACCCTCCCCTCACTAGGAACTTTAAGCCATGCAGTGGGGAATCCAACCCATCAGCTGAAGGGAATCCTGGGAGGATCAGTCTTGTTTCCTGCCAGTGTATCTCAAGGAAAAACAGTGCAGAAAATTGAATGGGACTTCCGCCCACAAAGGCGTGGCCTGGGCTATTGGCTGGGGGAATTCAGTCATGGGAAACTGGAGCACCCAAGTCCCACTGGCCGGTTTGGACAACGGCTAGACATGGTGGACGAGACAACATTGAGGCTCAAAGACCTGGAGTTGGATGATAGCGGGATCTACAATACTCGTTTTTGGTTTACTAAGACACTGTTTCAAGAACAGCGTTTCAGCCTCACCGTTTATGGTAAGTTATTGCTTTCACTGTTTGGCTCATGGAATAGGATCAGCACCATTTCCCTTCATAGGCATTGGTAGGGGTGGGGTGAAAGCTTATGCTGTTTTCATTTGTGTTCCACAGAGCCAGTGCCAACACCACAGATAGACCACCAAGTGGAATCCAAGACTCCAGGTGGATGTAATGTGACCTTGCGATGCCACACACCTGGAAGGGAAGATCTCAGTATCTCCTGGGAAACAGGGGGTCCACACAGGGCCTTAGGAAAGAGTGTGAATCAGTACCAGGTTTCCGACAATGGCCGGGAGCTCCGTGTCTCCTTCTGGAACACTTCTTTCGACTCCAAATTCACCTGCCTGGTCAGCAATCCTGTTGATCGAAAGAGAGCCTCCTTTGACTTGCTCAACATCTGCCAGAGTGATGAAGGTGAGCAATACATCCTTTCCTTCATTATCCAGAGGAGGTGCTTGTGGTGGTGAAAAGGCAGGCTAGCCTTTAACATGAGGGAAGGATGAGAGGAAGGAATCCTTTAACATGAGGGAAGGATGAGGATGAGAGCTCCTTGAAGACTGATCTGATTCTGCAAATTGCTGCTCCCCCCATGTCTTCCCATTCCTAGCTTAAGACATTGATTCAGGGCAGGCAAGTGTGTCTGACAGGCATTCACAGCCCAAATCATTGCAATATGAATGGGAAAAATTAGCAACACTTGTTTATCTCTTGTTATTTATTCTACTGCTCTCAGCCAGGTGTGAGCATGAGGCTTTGAATCTCGGGGTCATGGGTTCAAGCCCCACCTTGTGCCAAAGATTCCTGCAATGCAGGGGGTTGGACTAGTTGTCCATTCCAACTTCCAACTCTAGAATAATAATAATAATAATAATAATAATAATAATAATAATAATAGTAATAATTTATTTGTTTAAATAAATTTATTTGGCTTCCAATAAAACACTAAAATACAATAACCTTGTTGTTGTTGTTTAGTCGTTTAGTCGTGTCCGACTCTTCGTGACCCCATGGACCAGAGCATGCCAGGCACTCCTGTCTTCCACTGCCTCCCGCAGTTTGGTCAGACTCATGTTTGTAGCTTTCAGGACACTGTTGAACCATCTCGTCCTCTGTCGTCCCCTTCTCCTTGTGCCCTCCATCTTTCACAACATCAGGGTCTTTTCCAGGGAGTCTTCTCTTCTCATGAGGTGGCCAAAGTATTGCAGCCTCAGCTTCAGGATCTGTCCTTCCAGTGAGCACTCAGGGCTGATTTCCTTCAGAATGGAGAGGTTTGATCTTCTTGCAGTCCATGGGACTCTCAAGAGTCTCCTCCAGCACCATAATTCAAAAGCATCCATTCTTCGGCGATCAGCCTTCTTTATGGTCCAGCTCTCACTTCCATACATCACGACTGGGAAAACCATAGCTTTTACTATATGGACCTTTGTTGGCAAGGTGGTGTCTCTACTTTTTAAGATGCTGTCTAGGTTTGCCATTGCTTTCCTCCCAAGAAGCAGGCGTCTCTTAATTTCGTGGCTGCCGTCACCATCTGCAGTGATCATGGAGCCCAAGAAAGTAAAATCTTTTACTGCCTCCATTTCTTCCCCTTCTATTTGCCAGGAGGTGATGGGACCAGTGGCCATGATCTTCGATTTTTTGATGTTGAGCTTCAGACCATATTTTGCGCTCTCCTCTTTCACCCTCAATAAAAGGTTCTTTAATTCCTCCTCACTTTCTGCCATCAAGGTTGTGGCATCTGCATATCTGAGGTTGTTGATATTTCTTCCAGCAATCTTAATTCCGGCTAGGGATTCATCCAGCCCAGCCTTTCACATGATGAATTTTGCATATAAGTTAAATAAACAGGGAGACAAAATACAGCCTTGTCGTACTCCTTTCCCAATTTTGAACCAATCAGTTGTTCCATATCCAGTTCTAACTGTAGCTTCTTGTCCCACATAGAGATTTCTCAGGAGACAGATGAGGTGATCAGGCACTCCCATTTCTTTAAGAACTTGCCATAGTTTGCTGTGGTCGACACAGTCAAAGGCTTTGGCATAGTTAATGAAGCAGAAGTAGATGTCTTTCTGGAACTCTCTAGCTTTCTCCATAATCCAGCGCATGTTTGCAATTTGGTCTCTGGTTCCTCTGCCTCTTCTAAATCCAGCTTCCACTTCTGGGAGTTCTTGGTCCACATACTGCTTAAGCCTTCCTTGTAGAATTTTAAGCATAACCTTGCTAGCGTGTGAAATGAGTGCAATTGTGCGGTAGTTGGAGCATTCTTTGGCACTGCCCTTCTTTGGGACTGGGATGTAGACTGATCTTCTCCAATCCTCTGGCCACTGCTGAGTTTTCCAAACTTGCTGGCATATTGAGTGTAGCACCTTAACAGCATCATCTTTTAAAAATTTAAATAGTTCAGCTGGAATACCCTATTAAACATTAAAAGCTTCCCTAAACAGGGCTGCCTTCAGATGTCTTCTAAAAGTTTGGTAGCTATTTTTCTCTTTGACATCTGGTGGGAGGGCGTTCCACAGGGCGGGCACCACCACTGAGAAGGCCCTCTGCCTGGTTCCCTGTAACTTCACTTCTCACAGCGAGGGAACCGCCAGGAGGCCTTCGGTGCTGGACCTCATTGTCCAGGTAGAACGATGGAGGTGGAGACACTCCTTCAGGTATACTGGACTGACGCCATTTAGGGCTTTAAAGGTCAGCACCAACACTTTGAATTGTGCTCAGAAACGTACTGGGAGCCAATGTAGGTCTTTCAAGACCCGTGTTATGTGGTCTCAGTGGCCGCTCCCAGTCACCAGTCTAGCTGCTGAATTCTGGATTAGTTGTAGTTTCCGGGTCATCTTCAAAGGTAGCCCCATGTAGAGCACATTGCAGTAGTCCAAGCATAAGATAACCAGAGCATGCACCACTCTGGCAAGACAACCTTTGGGCAGGTAGGGTCTCATCCTGCGTACCAGATGGAGCTGCCCTGGACACGGAACTGACCTGCGCCTCCATGGACAGAATGACTCCCAGGCTGGTGCTTCAGGGGCACAGTTACCCCATTCAAGACCAGGGAGTCCCCCACACCAGCCCGCCCCCTGTCCGCCAAGAACAGTACTTCTGTCTTGTCAGGATTCAACCTCAATCCATTAGCCGCCATCCATCCTCCAACCGCAATTCTATGAGAATCACTCTGATGGTTGTTATTGGAGTATATTTTGAGAGACTTTTATTGCTCATTGCAGGTGGACAGTTTGGACCCTCGAGTTGGAGTCCATTGCTTATCTCTTCAGTCATACTTCTTCCAGTGATAATGGTGATGGTGATGGTGAATTGGGTGTGCTGGAAGATCAGATTAGAAAGGAATAGGAGAGGTAGGACCATCTCTATTGATCTTCTTCCCATCTTGCCTGAGATGGGGGCTTCCTTCTAAATATACCTCTACATTTCTTTTGCTTATCTCAAAAGGCAGAGACTGGTCAGTGCCGTGGATTAAATAATGTGCCTCATGTTGCATTCCACAGGTGTTGGTTCTTTGATGGAAAAGAAGGGGGAAAGTACTCTTACACGCCAGAACTCAAAAATGATTGACAATGACAATGATGATGATGATGATGATGAGGTGAGATGACCAGTGTGCAAAGTAATGATGGAGTTGATTGCAGATAATTACAACGAAAGCATCTGATACAGTTTGGAGGCATTTATTACTTATGGAATGATTATGAAAGTTGCAATCTGTTGTTTTTAAATGAACAACAGCAACAGAAAACAGACTTCAAACAGGCCAGTCACCCCATAAGAAATGGCAATCAGTTAGGCAAAACCTGTCCCTATGAACCATCTCTGCTTGTCTCCAGGGGGCTTCTCTTAAAATTATCTTCCACTGGCTCTGGACTCCATCACATCCAGCCAAAATAATCACCAGCACCTCTCCCTTATGCTGGAAAGGCTGTGGAGAGTGAGGCTCATTTTCATGCGTGGTGGAGTTGCGCGTTGGTCTACTCCTTTTGGGAAAAGGTGCTTCAGACTGTTTCCAAAATTACTCTGTAATGTGTTCCACTCAATTCAGCTCTTGCCTTGTCATCATTAGATTCAAATTTAAACAATAACCTTAAATACAGAGGCAGGCAGCTTGTGCAAAGATCCTGTTCCCATCAGGAGAATATGCATGCTCAGTTTAAGTGAACAGAATTGAACCCTCCCCTCGCCAGCTAGTGAATAGAGAACTCAGCCCTCTGACCGCAGGGCTCTGCTTCCCAAATCCTTACCCCAGTGAACCCAACAGGATTGCGCTCTCCCCTCACCAGCTGTTCTGGACTCTTCCCAAAATATTACTTTTATCCTTGATTATTTATCCTTGATAATAACTGAGTTCTGGAGAATGGAAATGACATACTTTTGTCAATTCAAAATGGGCAATTCCACCCGATCTCTTATGGTCTTAGTTATGGCAAGTTCTCCAGGAGCCCGTGGAACTAGAAAGCTAGCCCTAAAGCTGGAACTGAGGTGCAGGAAAAATGCTTGCTTTTAGGCAAATTGGTATCCTTTCTTGGGGAACGCTTGACTTGGACAGGACTTTAATTTGGTCCAGGGTTCAGGTGGGACAAAATGCACAGAAACTCTTTTAGAAAGAAGTTGCATCTCCAGAGTTCCTACTGTCATAATTTCTCTTCCCCTCCAGGTTGACTCAAACAGAGAGGAATTAACGAGCAGTTCCACACCACCCAGGGAATCCTTTCCTTCTCCCAATTCTTCTCCAGTCTCAGACACAGAGCCCTCAGAGATTGAACACTGCATCCCACAGACCAACATGGGAGATCAGGCACAACTTGGAAGAAATTTAAAGATTATTTACAGAAATATTGCAAAATTAATGAATGTTAGAGTGATGTTGGATTGAAGTTAAGTGGCTTCTAGCTGTACAGGTTTTAAAGTTATAAATATATCAAGATTAAGGATTAGGATTAAAAAGGTTAAAAGAATGGAAAAATTGGTTTTTAATAGGTAAAAATATATTATAATACATGTTATAATATATTAGGATTAAGGATGGGGACTAAAAAGGAGGGAAAGAAATTGCTGGACTTTATTCAAAGATAACTATGAAAAATGTTGGGCTGAAGTGAAAAAAGATTTAGAAATTTGGTCAAATTTGAAGCTTTCACTGCTGGGCCGGATTGCTGCGGTAAAAATGAATGTATTGCCTAGAATGTTATTTCTGTTTCAAACATTGCAAATTGTGGACAAAATGGACTGTTTCAAGAGGTGGCAGAGAGATATTTCTAGATTTGTCTGGCAGGGCAAGAAGCCCAGAATAAAATTTAAAATACTAACAGATGCAAAGGAAAGAGGTGGATTTGCCCTGCCAGACCTTAAACTTTATTATGAATCAGCAGCTTTTTGCTGGTTGAAAGAATGGCTGCTTCTTGAAAACACTGACATTTTGGATTTGGAAGGTTTTAACAATGTATTTGAATGGCATGCATATCTGTGGTATGATAATGTTAAAGCACATAAAGCATTTAAAAATCACATTGTCAGGAAAGCATTGTTTAATGTTTGGATAAGATACAAGGATTTATTGGAAAACAAAACTCCAAGGTGGCTGTCACCAATGGAAGCTAAAGCCTTGAAAAAGCTCAATATGGAGGTCAAGTGGCCAAAATATTGGGAAATTTTGGAACAAGATGGAGATAGACTGAAATTGCAGAGTTTTGAAAAATTAAAAAACAAAGTGCGAGACTGGCTTCATTATTATCAGATAATGGAGGTATACAATTTGGACAAGAAAATTGGCTTCCAGGTGGAAAAATCAAAATTAGAAACAGAACTGTTAGAACCCAAAACTAAGACTTTGTCAAGAATGTATAACTTGCTGCTGAAATGGAACACTCAGGATGAAACGGTGAAATCTGTTATGATTAAATGGGCACAAGACGTTGGACACAACATTATGTTTGCTGACTGGGAACAGTTATGGACCACAGGTATGAAATTTACGGCATGTAATGCCATAAGAGAGAATATTATGAAAATGATATACAGGTGGTACATAACCCCAGCCAAGCTTGCAAAAATCTACCATTTGCCCGATAATAAATGTTGGAAATGTAAAGAAACTGAAGGTACATTTTTTCACCTTTGGTGGACGTGCCCAAAGATTAAGGCTTTCTGGGAGATGATATATAATGAATTAAAAAAGGTATTTAAATATACCTTCTTGAAGAAACCAGAGGCCTTTCTCCTGGGCATAGTCAGCCAATTGGTGCTAAAAAAGGACAGAACTTTCTTTATGTATGCTATAACAGCAGCAAGAATACTTATTGCAAAGTATTGGAAGACACAAGAGCTACCCACACTGGAGGAATGGCAGATGAAATTGATGGACTATATGGAACTGGCGGAAATGATTGGCAGAATCCGTGACCAGGGAGAAGAGTCGGTGGAAGAAGATTGGAAGAAATTTAAAGATTATTTACGGAAACATTGCAAAATTAAAGAATGTTAGAGTGATGTTGGATTGAAATGAAGTGGCTTTTAGCTGTACAGGCTTTAAAGTTATATATGGATCAAGATTAAGGATTAGGATTAAAAAAGTTGAAAGAAATGGAAAATTGGCTTTTAATAGGTTAAAATTTAATGTTATATTATATTAAGATTAAGGATTGGGATTAAAAAGGAGGGAAACGAATTGCTGAACAAACAAATTGAATTGGAATACAAAAGAGGGAGAAATAATATGAATTGGAATACACATATATGTGCTGCAATAGTTAAGGCCAAAGTGACAGCCCACCATATTAAATCCTACTTTTTTTCTCCAGTAGGAAACAGATTTATTCCAGCTGTATTGCAAGTGATTGACATGAAACTTTGTGCCCAACTTCTATACGGCACACCAGTGTGGATTTCAGGTGACCTCAAGAGGTTGGATAAATTCCACGCATCCCTTCTGAGGTCATTATTAGGACTTGCAAACTCTGTAAAATATGAAACAATATGTTGTGAGCTGGGAATATTGCCTTTATCAGTAAGAGCATGGTTGAGGACCTTGAAATATTGGATCTTCCTCCATTATAGAGCCCTATCCCCTAATTCTCTACTCTACGATCTTTTAAGTGATAGTGCAATCTACAATCTATCATTGATTTGCAGGAGAAAACTGGATTCGATAGGGCTCACTCTAATTGACTTTGAAATCTCTGATCCCAAAGACATATGGGAAATTATCAGGAAGACTCTTATAGAAAAAAGTGTTCTCGCCATGCTGGAGGCTGCAAAACACAGCACTTGCTCTCCTATCCACTTAAATCTCCCTTTGTGTAGAGATTTCCAAAAGGGATACATGACAAATCTGAAGAAACACGAATTGTGTAGGCTGTTTATGTTGGCCAGATTCAACATGTTTCCCTCGGTGGTAGTGAGAGGAAGATACTTAGCTATCCCAGAATCAGAGCGTCTCTGCAAATGCAGAAAACAGGAACCCGATACTCTAGAGCATATATTCTTTTCCTGTGATTTTGGTAGTTATGCCAGAAAACAATTATTTGAGGCCCTAAAAGTTAATAGACAGATTTTTACACTGTTCAGGACCTGCTGGTGGACAGCGATGATCAAATCACGTTAATAGCGGCTGAATTTTTAAGTGCTGTCCATGAAGAAAGAATGGGCCATGATAAAGAGACTTAGTGGTTTTTAATGGTAGGTGATGTTGTTGTGTTGTATTATATTATCTATGTACATTGATTTATTTCTTGGAGTTAAGAATAGGACTGGGATAAATTGTGTTCGCTGAGCCCGTATTTTATACAGTCTGTATATGATGTTTGTTTGTTAGTGTGTGGCGTGCTATGCCTAATAAAGGATGGGAAAAAAAAATACAAAAGAGGGAGATATGAGGAGGTCCGGGAAATAAGTTAATGTAAAAGTTACAATGAAAAGATGGAATTGTTTTTAACTGTTTTTTCTTTCTTTTTCTTTTGTATCTTGTATGGTGTATTTCTCTTTTTACTTTTAAATTTATTTATTTTCTTTTTTGTTTTTCTCTTATTAAGATGTCTCTTTTTATGTGAAACTTTAATAAATATCATTTAAAAAAAAGAAAAAAAGAAATTGCTGCACTAACAAACTGAATTGGAATACAAAAGAGGGAGGTATGAGGAGGTCCGGGAAACAAGTAAATGTAAAAGAAGTTATGAAAAGACAGAATTGTTTTTAATTGTTTTTCTTTTTCCTTTTTGTATTTTGTATTGTGTATTTTTCTTTTTATTCTTAAATTTTCCTTTTTTATTAATGTGATTCCTTTTCTGTGAAACTTTAATAAATATTATTTTTTTTTAAAAAAGAGATCAGGCACAACATAAGACATCTGTAAGATCTCCGGGAGCCACTGCTGAGGAATTCACTGAGGGTCTCTCTGTTGAAAGACCCATTGCAGATCTCTCAATGCTGCCAGTTGAGCCGGAGCTACAGCCAACCCAGCAGCCTTCAACACTGGCCCCAAAAGTCTTGTGACCAGGACAGAGAGCAAGATACCAAAACTTATCCAGTGACTATGGAGGGGTCTCCTCGAGTACAAGGAATCTCAGGAATGGCTTCATCACCAGCAGCAGTATATAAGGCACCCCTCTTGAGCCTTCCTGTTGCTGGAAACAGTACAGGCCTGTTATAAGAGGGGGGGACTACTACTCCTTTTCCCTTATGGGAAACCCAAGAGCCCATATAGAGTCCTTAAGTAGGTTTCCTATCGGTAGGAGAAAATAACAGAGGCCAACCAGAGAATATAGAGAAGCAAAGCAGCTAGTAAGCCTGATCTTTATTAAAGCTATTGCAACAGGGTGCTCCCCTCACACACAGGAGGCAGGAGGCAGGAGGAACCCGGAACCATGCACACAAGCCCTTATATAGACATTTTCAAATTGCCCACCCTGGAGCCCAAAACCACCCCCAATACATCATACATACACCAGAGAAGGGGAGGTCTACAACAGAATCCTGTCTGCCACAAAACCAGTGATGGGTTTACCTGGCTGTTAATTAGTTTACCTGGACAGCCTGGCTATTCTTTTGTGATGATAACTACTTAATTCCTGAGTCCAGGTCACAGTCTCACCCTATTCATACACTGACACACCCTTAAGACAGCATTTGAGAAGAAAGAGACAATGGGGAGCCTTTTCCATTTCCTTCCTCCGTGCAGAGAAATATTTGAGGTGACTGAAAGAGTCAAAATGGCTTTAGGACTGTTTTCCTGTACTGTTACCAGACATGAGGTTTATATATTTATGTATGAGTTTGCCTTGTACAGTTTTGAACATTTATTTTATATACATTGAAATATACCCGGAGTCAAGAGTGGATTTCATGCTCTTTATTCAGCTCATAGTAGTGAGGGATGAAAGTTCCCCCCAAATATCTGCTTTATATACATTATTTACACAATGGGCCGCACGTGATTGGCTAATTCCGGGATTCTCCCGTAGGCCAATCAGGTTGTGGATTCACTTCCACCTGGAGCTGGATTGGGTGGCACCTGCGGACCAATAAGACTGCTGCATTCTGGATCCTATTGTTCTAGGACCAATCAGACTGCTCCCTTTTGGATCCTATTCCACTCAGTACATAACATATATAATACCTTAAAATTCCTATAACAGGTCTCTGGGTCCTTAAACCCAGGCGCCTTATAATAATAACTATTATTTATTATTTATACCCCACCCATCTGGCTGGATTTTCCCAGCCTTGCCTTGCCTTGCTAATCTTTTCCTATTTAGCTTGGACTCTGGTTAGTGCTTTTTTAAAAATAAAGAAGTAAAATACAGTGACTACGGGGCCGCCTCTCCTGGTATGCCCCGCGGAGGACCTTAAGGTCCACAAATGACAACACTTTGGAGGTCCCAAGTCGCAAGGTGGTTAGATTTGTCTCAACTAGGGCCAGGGCCTTTTCAGTACTGGCCTCGACTTGGTGGAACGCTCTGTCACAAGAGACCAGGACCCTGCGGGACTTGACATCTTTCCGCAGGGCCTGCAAGACAGAGCTGTTCCGCCTGGCCTTTGATTTGGACTCAGTCTGACCCTTATGTTTCCCTTCCCTTATGATTTTGATCAATGGACTACTTTTAAAAGGAGGCTGCATTTTAAATTGTATTTTAACCTGTATTTTAAATTGTCGCCCCCCATTGTGGTTTTATTGTAATTTTGCTGGTGTTAGCCGCTCTGAGCCTGGCTCTGGCCAGGGAGGGCGGGGTATAAATAATAATAATAATAATAATAATAATAATAATAATTACTCATGGAGGGGTGGGCAGGGCTGATCCAAGACATTTTGGCACCTGAGGCAAACCCCAGGGGCAATGGTGGTATTGTTCTGTGATTGCTGGTTCCATAAGGTGACTCAGGGCTTATTCACACCCCTGGCTTATCAACACTTCCTTTTGTTCTGTTGCTTTTCCCTGGGGGAAACTGCTCTTTGGTGCTTAACCAGAGCAAGCAGCAATGGGGTTTTCCACTAAAGAGCAGGTTTTCCCTGGGAAAGCAGTGGGGCAAGTGGGAAACACTAGCACTCCTCCAGGCACGGGACAAGCGGAAGTATGGATGATCCGTCAGAGGAAGGAGCAGCCCTTGAAAAGTGTGTCCTTAGGCAGTATCCTTAACCCTGCAGGCCTCACGACTGCAGCAACAAAATCCACATCTGCTTGCAATTTTGCTCCATCCAGGAACTTGCAGAGGTCTGGCCACAGATGCTTTCTGAACAGCCCATACACCACCAATTTCTGCCAGTTAGGCAAATGCACAGTATAGGTTAAAATATGCACTATACTGTTATAGATTTTTTGGGGGGAGGAGGGTCCCCATGAACCCTAGAAATTAAGAATGGCAGGGTTTTGATTAATTGGCATATGGAATAAAGTACAAGCTGCAGAGTTGTGCCAGGCAGAGGAATTTGTACTTTATTCCTGGGCTAGTTCATGCCAAACAGCCTGGCTGAGCTACGGTCATCAAGGAACAATAGAAAGCAATTGAGCGGGTGGTGCGGTGGGTTAAACCACAGAGCCTAGGGCTTGCCGATCAGAAGGTCAGCGGTTCAAATCCCGCGACGGGGTGAGCTCCCGTTGCTCGGTCCCAGCTCCTGCCAACCTAGCAGTTCGAAAGCACGTCAAAGTGCAAGTAGATAAATAGGTACCGCTCCGGCAGGAAGGTAAACGGCGTTTCCGTGCGCTGCTCTGGTTCGCCAGAAGGGGCTTAGTCCTGCTGGCCACATGACCCAGAAGCTGTACGCCAGCTCCCTCGGCCAATAAAGCGAGATGAGCGCCGCAACCCCAGAGTCGGCCACGACTGGACCTAATGGTCAGGAGTCCCTTTACCTTTATTAACCATACAAGAGAACTCCATCCCCCTTGTCCCAGGTGTGTGGAGAGACTTTGGATTTGGAAGGTTGCCAGGGTAACTGCTCTGTGTGTGGGCAAGGGGGGATGGGGAAGAAGGGTTACTGGAGGAACAGTTGAGATCTATCTTGGGCAGGGTATCATCAGCCTGAGGTTCTGCTCCATGAAATTACCATGCCATCAGATCTGAGCTTCCTCCATGCAGACTGGAGGTGTTAATAGGTCAATAAAGCATGTTTTTTAAAGGGGGGGTCATTCCTGGAAAGTCCTGTGAGACATTGAATGTGATTAAACATTTGATTTTATGAGAGGCAAAATGCTCTCGCTCTCTCCTGGCACCTCTCTAAGAACATAAGAGGGAGTGTGATTCAGTGGAACGTCAATAAGATGACATTTGACTCTGGGTCTCGAGATGTTACAAAAGTTGCATGCCATTCCCAATCTCTGCTGAGCTTTGCCAAGATTCCAGAGGTTCCAGGCACTCACCCAGGGTCTGAATTGGCTCTGAGTCTTTTAAATCTTCTAGTTTGACCTAAAGGTATCTCAAATCTGCCCCCCTGTTTCTCTCATCCCTTCCCCCAGGGGTGCGGGTGGGTGTGTTGCGGTTAGCCTCGGGTGTCATCATTGAAGGGGAGGGGATGACAAAATGACAAAAATATGAATTTTAAAAAAGGTGCTCATGAAACTTTTTAGTTAAGGTGAGAAACATAATGTAACGTGGCTGGTGCCAGGCGCCTGCCCACTGCCTGTCCCTCAGCTGCCCCACAGCTGAGGGGGAGACTGCGGAGAGGCTCCACGCAATGCCCCTGCCTTGGCTCGCTGGTTTGCTGGAGGAGAAATGTTTGAGGGCACCTGCCCCGTCCAGTCAATTGCAGCAAGGGCTGCTTACGGCTCTCCCCCTTCTGCCTCCTGCCTCCTCTTCCTTCTCCTCCTTCCGGCTCCCTCACCCACAGCAGTAGCAGCAGTGAGAGCAGCCCCTGTGGGGGCGTGGCCAGGTGGGAGGGGCTGTGAAGGGGCGGAGCCCCACCTGATGTGCACGGCACACCAGGCACTGGAGCGTCTAGCGACGCCGCTGCCTTCCCCTCCAGGCACCTTACCTCATGCAACAAAGAACCTGACCCATCAAATGAAGGGGATCTGAATGAAGGGGATCGTGGGAGGATCCGACTTGTTTCTTGTAAATATACTTCCAGGGAAAATGGTCATTAAATCATCTGGGACGTCTACACCACAAGCCGCGGGGCATATCCCCTTTGTGAGTTCAGAGATGGGAAACTGGAGCAGCCTGAGGTCAAGTCCAGGTTTGTTCCCAACCCTTGATCATCTTGGTTGTCCTTCTCTGCACACAATCCAGCTTGTGTATAAAGAAGGTAAAGGGACCTCTGACCATTAGGTCCTGCCATGGCCGACTCTGGGGTTGTGGCGCTCATCTCGCTTTACTGGCTGAGGGAGCCGGCGTACAGCTTCTGGGTCACGTGGCCAGCATGACTAAGCCGCCCACAGGAGAGGCGTCTTCCCACAAGAGGCAGTGAAGACCACCATCCTGGATGGCTTGAAAAGAGGATGAGATACATTGGTGGAGGAGAAGACTGTTGATGGATACTAGGCAGGATGGCTCTCCTCTGCCTCCTCCACTGAAGGCATCCATGCTTCTGAATACCAGCTGCTGGAAACCACACAAGGAGAGAGCATTCTGGCGCTCAGGTCCTGCTTGCCTATTGGATCTGGCAAGAGGCCGAATTTGAAAAAAAGATTTTGTTTATGAACACTAAATAAGAAATCATGCAGCTAAGGGAGGAAATGATTGGCATGTTTGCAACAGGAGTGGGAAACCTGATTTTAAGAAATTACAAGAAATTATATTAAAATATTTTGGTTTAATTAATAATTTAGAAAATTTATACAAATTATTTGGAGGGTGTGAGATATTTTATTTTGGGAAGGAGAAATATTTTCACTACCAGGGAGACTAAAAGTTAAGGAGGCAAATACTTTAACAACAGCAGAGTGACGGTTCTTGTCTGGTGTCACTAAGCAGGGAGTTCCAAAGAGTAGTGCTGCCAACCCTGAAAGATTGATCCCTTGGAAGTGCACAGCAAACATTTTGGCATTTATACATGAGCCAGTTCTTCTTGCTGACGAGGGAGGAGGGGGAGAGCTTTTGAGAAGCTTGAACTTGTATTTAGTCTCAAGGGGAGAAGTTCTCCAGGTGTCAAGTTTCAAAAAGAGAGAGACAGAGAGAGAATCACAAGTTCAACAGGGAGGAAGGAAGTGGGGCAGCAGCAACCATATCCACCCTGGAGTGTTTTTTTCTGCCCCAGAACCCCTCAAAAAAACCTGAGCTACAGACCCTGGATGCACATTTGCCTACAGAGACCTTCCCTGATGTCCACAGGGTCCCATCTCTCTCTCCCCCCCCCCCCATTTTAGGAAAACAATTTTGCTTAATTTAACATATGTTGTTCTATTTTCACTAATGTTTGCATTGCTTGGAGCACTTTCTGATCAATGCATAAAAAACATTCATGCACTGATGTGCACACATTTTCCCAGTACATGCATGTTTGTATATATCAATTGACTGCTGAACAGCAAAGCAAAATTCAGACGTGTGTGGATTTCGTCTGTCATGGATGGTTTAGTTAAGATTCCTGCATTGAAGGGGGTTGGACTAGATGACCCTTGGGAGCCCTTCCAATTCTACCATTCTATGATTCTGTGATTGAAACTAAGTGCTAAAAGCAGCATGGATACTAAAATAAACATAGATACAGAAAAGTTAATGCCTCATGTTGTCATACTGTGAAAGATAAGACCTGCAACTTGTATTGAATTTCTTTGTGGGAACCTCATGCACATTTCCTATTTTTAGCTCACAGCTTTCTCAGCCTGTAAGACTGTATCGTCCTTCAGTTACTCTGCAACCTCTCCCTCTTAAAGAGAGCTTTGGGGCTGTGACCTGCAGCATTTCTTATGCCTGGGAATAAAAGCAGAAGCCTGTTGCTGTACCAATGAGGACAAATCAACTCTCCACCAGCAGCAGCCACACCTGAGGCTCCCTATATTCCTGGCCAGAAATATTCATGAATTTTGTGAGCAGGAGCCTCCTGATCCTTCTCTCCTTTGGTCCATTGATCTTCTCTTCCCTGGGTAAGTCCTTGCGAAGAAAAGCTGAATGTATAGGGTGAAAAGCTATAGGTTTCCTTGGTCATGGAGGGGAAAGTAACTGACAATGGTGAGCTCACCTGGAGAATAGGCCTCCTCCCTGGACTGGAACAGACTCTGGGGAGCTCAATGAGCCATCCACAGGGAGGATCCTAGAAAGGTCTTAGTGGGGAGGGTTCCCCTTGTCCCATCCAGGATCCTCATCAGTCACCCTAGTGTGCAGCACTGGCCTCGTCTTCAGAGCTGCCAGAGTCTGCTTCTGGCTCAACCACTCTGCATATGGCATCACTGGCTCCACCTCTGGAGCTGACCGAGGCTGCCCCACCCCATCTCTCAGGAGGAGGCTGCCTTCCCTGTCTGCTCTAGAGGAGTCTTCTCACCTCTTGCATCAGTCCCTGAAATGCCAGAACAAGTCAGTGTCTTATGTTTTAATGCTGCATTTTAAATTGTTGTCACCTCCTCTGGGACCTCATGAAGGAGGATGGATAAGGAGCTAAAAACGATAGTGATACTAATTTTCCCCTTTGTTTGTATCTCTTCCCCCCACCACCTTCCCCTCGCTAGAAACTTTAAGCCATGCAGTGAATTGCTATATGGTGCCCCTGCAGCCTCATTCTCAGCCACCCACATTTAAATTTTCATGAAAGAATTAAAAGCTCCTCTGTCACCTTTTTATTTTAAAATAAAACAGTCCCGGTTCAAGTGGAGCCCATCCCTTTTGTACAGACCCAGGTTGCTCCGAAATGCTCCCCAATTCAGAACAAACACAAACTCCTCCTCCAAACAGTATCCTGTCATCCGCGCATTGAGACCACACAGCTCTGCTTGTCCATCTGGCCCTGCATATGGAACTGGTAGTATTTCAGAGAAGGCTACCTTGGAGGTCATGACTTTCAGCATCCTTCCCAGCATCCTAAATTTGGCTTCCAGGCCCTCTAGACTACATTTCCCCATGTCACTGGTGCCAACATGCACTGTGGCCACTGACTCCTTCCCAGCACTGTGTGCCAGGCTATCTAGGCAATGAGCAACATCCACAACCTTCGTTCACCCCATGGTTCATTACACACCCAACTATCTATATGCTGATCTATATTCTTAACTACCATGATCCCACCACCCAGAGGAGAGGCATCTTCCCACAAGAGGCAGTGAAGACCAACATCCTGGATGGCTTGAAAAGAGGATGAGATACATTTGTGGAGGAGAAGACTGTTGAGGGATTCTAGGCAGGATGGCTCTCCTCTGCCTCCTTCACTGAAGGCAGCAATGCTTCTGAATGCTGGAAACCACACAAGGAGAGAGCATCCTGGTGCTCAGGTCCTGCTTGCCAGTTTCCCACAGGCATCCGGCTGGCTACTGTGAGAAGAACAGGATGCCAGGCTAGATGAGCCACTAACAGGATCTTCTTAGGTTCTGATTTCCCTGATTTCCCCTCGGGAGTTAATTTTGGGGTTTGAGGGCATATGAACATTCCTTTGGGGTTTAGTGACACGTGAGTTTTTCTTCTTTGAACCTCTTTCAAGCAAATAAAAACATGGGCAAGTAGAATGCTCTTGTAACAGCCTCCTCAGTCTGCAAAAGCTGCCAGCTCTTTTCATTGCTTTTGCTTTGCCCAGATCTGTCACAAGACTTTTGTTATTAGCCAGTCTTTGCGAACAGCAATTCTGTTCCTCCCCTACAATCCACACCCAGGGACAGACTTCCATAGAGAAGCAAACATGACTGTTGCTTGCAGACGTTTCCTCTTCACTCTTTGTTCTGAAGAGCAATAAGACCTCCACCAGCAGCTGGTTTGTTCAGGAGGCGGGGGAAGAGACTGGCCATGATTGTCCTCCCTGACATTTGCCTCTTGCAGTTGCGTGGCGAGTTCCCGCCCCCCACCAGGATAAATAAAGACACGAGACACCATAGTTTAAGGTTAAAAGGGGCGAATTAGGCCACAACTTTATTGAATTCAGGAATGAGAGGCATTGGCTTAGGCATTGGTCCTAACGACTATCCGGCTCCAGCCCATTTGCTGGAGACACGGGGAAGGGTTAACACTATATCGGGGGAGTCTCCCGCTGAGGCACGCCGACTAGGAGCTCCCCCGGGTCACCGCTCGGGGGCGTGCCTTTGGCCCACACCTCCATAGGCTTCGGACAGGGCCACGCCCCCCGGAGTCCTTTAACGGACCACCCTTCGCTCACTGGGGGAGGTGATGGCGTTCCTCGCCCACATCCTCTTCACCCCTTCTTACCAATGCCTACCGCCACACGAGCAATCGCTCGCCGCCAATACTCTCATGCCTGAAACCAATCCCTTACACCCTTTGCTATATCAGTCAGCCACATGTCATTTCCCGCATCTGAAAGATGCACGCCATCAAGCCAAATATCATTTCCCGCATCCGAAAGATGCACGCCATCAAGCCGGTAGAGGGCCTCACAGTTGCCCGGGTGGTCAATGACCCACCCACCCAGGGCTGCCACTCTACGCACCACCGCCTGATCCAAGGCTTTCCCTAGCCCTATTTATGGCTATCGGGCACCTGCTCTCTCTCCAAACCCTGCTTTCCATCAACAAGGCCCAAAGAATGGTGATGTTTGGATAAGAGGCCTTAAGTTCCTCAAAGTCACTAAAGAGATGCCACATCAAGTCAACTGCCTTTCTGTAAGCTAAATTCTTTTCGCCAAATTGGATAACTAAAGCATCTGGGGGGCCGACCGCTGTCGCTCTGGCCCTAATTGCAGGCAACATTCCGGCCCAGCGCATTCCCCTCCGAGAGATCCAAGACATATTGATGTAGTTAAGGTGCGGCCCAAGACCGGAATTGATGGTGCGGACCCTGGCCCAATGCACAATGCTGTGCCCGATTATCCAGATGCGCATCCTCATAGCTCCTGCACCCTAGGGTCCCCGTTAACGGCATGGTTTCTATCCCAGTGGACAGTGCAGGGCCTATAATCCAAATGTGCACCACAACGTCACCTGAAAGCAAAAGAAGGTAACGAAGCCAGGTCAAGTATACTGTGAACAATCACAAGGTCTTACGAATATATCCCTTAAATGCATCAGACTTTCACTGCCCCCAAGTCCTTCATCCTTTCAGCTGAGAGTCCCAAATGCAGTGCTGCGGTGGCGGCCCCAATCCTAAAGGAGTTAGCCGCGAATTCAGCTGAGGATAAACTGCAGGCAGCAATCTCCCTTCGCATAATGCACGTGGACTGATGCCACCCTCCCGGCCAGAAATTTCTTTAATTTCTTTTTGCCATAGCTGGGATTTCCCAAACTGATTCTTTGGTTTGGGGGTTCCCTGAGTTAGGGGGTAATGAAACGAGGATCTTGAAGCCATAAGAGAAACTCTTTCCCAGGGTACTTTGCTGCCTCTATTTTAGGGTATTTATCAAGAAGGGTTCTAAGAGGTGAGAGCTTAACAAAAGAGAACATCACAGTCAAGGGCCAAATTCATACCAGTTTGTGGCTGTTCTTTTTGGCGGGTCTGTGAGCTTTTCAAGACCCCTGGTGGAAATGCCCCTGCTGCCCGGAAAGGCTGTTTACCTTTAAAACATGAAGACGCTGGGTGGTTACCTAGGCACTTCTCACATTCATGCGCATACTTACAGTTTGGCCCCTGGCACACACCCGTGTTGTACTCCCAGCAAACCTCATGGTGAGGGACTCGCTTAGCTTCAAATTTTCCAACTTTCCTTTTCCACATAGGGACCCATATGCTCCATCCAGTAATTCTGGTCGCTCGGAACCCAGCAGGTGGTGGGCAGCAGGAAGCTTTTCTGAATCGTCCTCGGCATCAGAAGGCTTACTTCTTTTGCTCTTCTTGGCCGAATGATTTTCTTGCTTAGACTTCTTTCTCTCGTGCCCATCATTGGAGACTGGTGCTATTCTGCAGCCGCTGCCACTTCCTGTTGCCCCTGCGTCTCTTCCTCCGATGATGTTTCGGAGCCCCCTTTCGCGGTAAAGACTGAGGTTGTGAATGCTGTAGCATACTGGGAAAGTCTGGGGTATACTGAGAGGTAGAAAGGTTATAATTGTAAGCATGAGCCCTGCCTCCTGAGGATCTGTCATTGGAAACCCAGGGACACGTAGACTGTAATTATGTGTGAGGATGCATAAATGGATTGCTACCCGAATGTGGAACCCTAAATAAGGAGGCAAAAGTGCAAGGGAGCTCCTCATTGCTGGACGGCAGTACTCACTACTTGGGAAGAGGCCGGAGTGACCATGGGCCTGAATTGTTGGTAAAGGTTTCAAAAGCAGAGGAAACACTGACTAGGCCTGTGGGTTGCAGGGCACAGGAGGCTACCCTGACCCATCTCGGACACAGACCCACTGTTGAATCATTGGCTGCTCTCAGCACTGCCACGGTGGCCGCGGAGGTGCCGGGGCGGTCCACAACGTTAGGTGGCGTATCCGGGATGCATTCTTGGGTGAGCGCCAGAGGTACCGCTGCCACCTCGTCTGCGGGCCTATATTGCCTATAAAATGTCTAAAAAGCATTGAACAACTGTGCCAAAGGCTGTGGGTTACTAGGCACTACGAAGGCCTGGGACCCCTCCTGGTTCCCTTGTGCCACCCCAGATATAGCGGCATTTTGCTGGTTCTCTTGAGCAGACATAGTTTGATACCCTTAATTAGCCTGGTTCTGTAAATTCAACGCCAACTAGCTTGGATTATATGCGTGAGCTGCGAGCAATATCACGGTAGTTCAGTATTGTCTGCACTGGTAAGTTTAAAGTACCCAAAGATGCCTAACTAATCTCCAACAAATTGTATTTAGCTGCAAACAATATCACCATAGCTCAGTATTATCTGCACTGGATAGCAGTCCAAAATACCAGCCCACACCTCAAAGCAATGTATTTAGAGGAATACTGAGTCTATAATAAACAGAAGAGAACCTTTGATAATGTAAGCAGCTATGCAGCAAGCTAGAGGTAGAATTATAAATTGTAACCCAGCAATACAGCAGTGAAAAATGATAAATTGACTTATGCAACAAACCTATAAGCAAAGCAAAGCTCCCAAGAGCACTTAAGCACTATTATCAAAATCAACCAAATGAATTAAATTGCCAGATTAAATATATACTTATAGACTAACAGATGAAATACCAGAAAGAGATGAACGTAGAAGAGGCATGAGCTATTTACTTTAGATTCCCTATAAACCTGTATGCAAAGATTATTTTGCAGGCGAAGAAGCCCTTTAATAAATCAAATGATATAAAACCCGGATCTCTTTTTCCTTATAACTATCAATTGACTATACCAAATTATAAAACTTAATGCCTAGGCAGAGAGTAAATGATACAGCTCCTCAGAGCACCACAAGCTGAATGAAATAATTTGAATTCCAATATACTGTGCACTAATAATTCAGTTTAATTTAAATGTGTTTCGTAAATTCCCAGAATGAAATTCTCAAGAGTGTAAGTATAAACAAAAGCAGTCAAATTAATTAGAGGATATCAATTCTAAGATCAGCCTAGCCAGAGACGCTGTAGCCAGCTCTATACAAGCTTATGCACCAAGAGGAGGGGCTCTCTGCAGCCCCTTGTGCGCTCTTATTTAAGCTAGGCTCTTTTAATAATTGCGCTATCATCCTTTGTTTATATTGCTTATGTTTATTTCCTTTGTTTATATTGCTTTTGAATTTAACCAACGAGAAAGTGAGGGGCACTCGAAAAGGAGATAGCTCCCACGTGGTTTTGCCTCTCCTAAAATGGCTGCCGCCGCAAGGCCACGTGGGCAATCAAAATGGCAGCCGTAATGCGTTCCCATTGCCTAGCGACAATGAACACGTGCGAAAACACTTAACGCTAGCCCTTTAATACTGAAAAATTCCGCAGCCTCAAGAGCAAAACCTGCAGGCATTCCCCACGTACCCCTTATGAACGTTAATTATTCCCCTGGTTTTCTCGCCGGTTAAGCTTAAAAGGGAGGGTTTGTAAAATTACTTCCCACGTGGAATGCCTATAGTAAAATGGCGGCCGCCCGGAAGGGCACGTGGGCGGATGAAATGGCGGCCGGGGCGCGCTGGTTGCCCAGCAACGGCGCAGCTGCTTCCGATGCTTTCCAAGTCTAAACTTCCGCGCGAAAATGAAACAGCCTATAGAGGAAGCGATGCTCTGTGGAACCCACTCAACCCCTCAAGAATGCTGCTGAAATGATTATTTAACAAGAAATTCTGCCCCTCACCCCAGCGAGAAAATGAAACACAACCGGCACAAAACGCAGCCCGCTCTCCTCCCGCAGCTGCCGTTCCGCCTAATTGCACCATGCTCCCCTGCACAAACCCCTAGCTAAAACCTGAAGCCCCAACAGCAAAACCTGATTGGATGGGTGCGCTGCGTCCTCCGTGGGAATAACGAAGAGGAGCCAAACGTTCTTCCTTGAGCTCCTTGCAGAACAGGCAGTCAGCAGCCGAGGGCAAGCAACGGATCAGCAGAAAAAGCTCCACAAAGCTGAATAAATTCCTCTGAAGGGGGCATGCAGCAGCAGGCACGGCAAGCTCCTGAGGGCAGGGAACTTGCACCGAAACACACAGAGCTCCCTGTAAAACTGTAGACGTGAAAGAGATGCTGGAAGGAAAGCACACAAACACACACACAGTGATTTTAGCTCAATTACAGCTCCGGTGTTAAACTGCAGCAGCTGGAATGGAGCGCAAAGGGGAAACCCCAGAAGGAGAAAAGCCCCAAATTGGTTTCAGCTCCAAAACTAGAGATAACAACTCCTGAACATCAAGCAGTTTAGAAATAAAGCAACACCAGCAGCGAATGCTGGAAATTCTCTGTAAAAGAAAAGGAGCTTTTTCTGTGAAGCTACAGCATATTCCACGAGGTGCCCTGCAGCTCAAGAACAAAGGCAACAAAGAAGCAAGGCAGGAACGCTCCAGGCAACGCAGATAAGATCTCCGACAAACAGGAACAGCTGATATGCGGGAAACAAACGTGGGGGCTAGCCGGCGAAAAGAGGGCGAGCCCCCTCCGCGCTGGCCCTAAATAGGGCAGACCCCCTGCTCTCGCGGGGGCTGAAACCAGCCCCTGCTCACGTGGGGGGTGGGCGTGAAGCCCGCAACCCCACCTCCTGGGCAGGCTGGAAGTGGCTTTGCCAGACTCCTCTGGAGAAGGATATGGGAGCCAGCTGTATGCCATCTTCCCCTCTGAGCTGTATTTAAGCCACACTGCTTGGAGTGTAGCAAGACCAGGGCCAGAAACTTTATTATCAGTTAACTCTTGTGTTGCTTTGTATTTGCACAGACAAGCGGAGACCCCGCAACTCCGGGCAACACCCAAGTGGAATAATGACTCAAGACAACGTGTTATGGGATTAAAATTTGGCCACAACTTTATTAAAGCTTCAGATGTAGGGAGACCTTGGCTTAGGCATTGGGTGTTTATCCCTCCCAGTCCCCGCCTGGGGATCTGGGGAGCATCAGGGTTATCCAGAATGTGTGGGGGCTGAGCTGGCTCTGGAGAACATCTGTTCAAGCAGAGAGCCCGCCCCCCATTTCGCTGCCGTCGCAGGGGGAGAGCAATGACAACCTATTGGCATATGGCCAATGCCTCCCCTGAAAACAACTCCTTTAACGGGGAACCCTGGGATCGCACCACGGGGGGGGGCATGGGTCACCCTTCACCCCCCCCCCCCAATTTAGGGAAGTTAGGCTAAAGGATTCCACCCAAGTCGTGAAACCGCCAAAGCTGTGATATTTTGCTACGGGGATGGCAAAACCTGCCAATGTGGGAAAATTCCTTTCCAGCCCTTCAACAGTGACGTGACATAGCAGCACCTGCGTACCTGTGAAGAAGAGGTTAACCTGCAAAAGAAGGCTTAACTGAGGGAAGGGAGGGTGGGAGAAGCTGTGAAGTGGTCTGAGAACTCCCAGGTAAGTTCCGCCCACTATTGTGTGGGCTGTGCCATCCCTCCCCTTACCTGGCCAACACTCTCCTGGCAACGCCTTCCCAGCTGGGATTGGGCAACTGGCAGAGGTAGGCCTCCAGGTGTCCAGCCTTGTGGGGGCGAATCCAGGCTGTACTGCCAGGAGCCACATGGGATGGGGGGGGGCTGCGCGCGACCATGCAAAAGGCACCCCCCATTTGATGTGGGCGGCGGTCTTTATGTACTTAAGCCCCAAATTGGGGGGGGGGGGATATTGAATTTATCATGCGTTTGCCAAAATACTTTATTCCTGTCATTTTTTACGTTTACTGTCATATTCTGTATTTCAAACATTTGTATTTCCAATGCTCTGTATTTTGATGTTTTGAATGGCTGCTGTGAGTCATTTTCAGCTCAGCTCCTTGTGGTACAGATGCATATAAATAAACTCAATCAATCTTGCTTACTAGTGCCCAGTTTCTGGTGCCACAGTGATCTTTGTTACTGAGCTATGTTTGTAGGACAATCTGTGTATATGACAAACACAAAAGAGAGCCCAACCGTAGGTGGCGAGAGAACCAATGATCGGTAGAGCCAACTAATTCTATTTCTGTCCCCACCTGTCCTACTGAGAGCTATGAGAGCAACACAGATACTAAAGAGGAAAGGCCAACTGGCAGGCTAGGTGAAAGTGAAGAAAGAAAACAGATGGATTCACTGCAAGATACTATAAAGAAATGAAATACACCCTACTTGCGCCAATGAAAGAAGTTATGAATAATATATTAAAGAAGGGAGAATTACCAGAAACATGGAAAGAAGCTTATATTACACTCATTCCGAAGCAAGATTCAGACTTAACGCAAGTAAAAAACTATCAGCCGATTTCTTTGTTAAATAATGATTATAAGTTAATTGCAAGCATATTAGCAAACAGGATGAAAAAAAAAAATATTGAAAGAAATGATACATAAAGATCAGGCAGGTTTTCTTCCTGGAAGACAAATGAAAGACAATATAAGAAATATAGTTAATATAACTGAGTATCTGACAGCCAGGAATGAAAAACAAGCAATGTTAATTTTTGTGGATGCTGAAAAGGCCTTTGATAATATATCTTGGGAATTTATGTTAAAAAATTTAGAATTCATGGATATGGGTCAATTCTTTCTAAATGGAATAAAAGTGATATACACAGAACAAAGAGCAAAACTGATTGTAAACAATATAGTAACAGAAAATATTGCAATTACTAAAGGCACAAGACAAGGATGTCCTCTTTCACCATTATTATTCATATCGATTCTGGAAGTCTTTTTAAGATCGATAAGAAGAAATGAATTAATAAAGGGTGTCACAGTCAGTCGAAATGAGTATAAAGTAAAAGCCTTTGCTGATGACTTGGTATTAACAATTGAAGAACCATCTACAAGTATTAAAGAGGTATTAGAGGAGATAGAACAGTTCGGCCAAGTGGCTGGCTTTAAACTGAATGAAAAGAAAACTAAGATAATTGTTAAAAATATGAAACAGGAGTTGGTTGAAACATTGCAGCAACAAATAGGTATAGAAGTGGTTAAGAAAGCCAAATATTTAGGAATTTGGTTAACTTCAAAAAATATTGATCTGTTTCAAAATAATTATATACAAATGTGGAATAGTGTTAAAAGAGATCTAGAGGTATGGGGAAGGTTGAAGTTATCATTTTGGGGTAGGATTGCTGCGATAAAGATGAATGTGCTACCAAAGATGTTATTTTTGTTCCAGACAATTCCAATAATCAAAGGGGCAGCAATATTTAAAGAATGGCAAAAGATAATTTCAAGATATATCTGGAAGGGTAAGAAGCCGAGAATACAATATAAGTTATTAACAGAGGCTAAAGAAAGAGGAGGCTTCGCCCTGCCAGACTTGAAATTGTATTAGGAAGCGTTGTGCCTCTGTTGGTTGAAGGAATGGATGAAATTATAAAATACTGAATTGCTGGACCTGGAAGGGTATGATAATAGATTTGGTTGGCATGTGTATCTATGGTATGATAAGAAAAAAGTCCATAAAGGATTTGGAAACCACATATTTCGAAGATCTCTTATATAAGTTTGGGATAGGTATAAAAACCTATTGGAACAAAAAACTCCACATTAGAAGCGATGTGTGTTAAAAAGGTCAATATCAGTGGGAAATGGATAACATACGGGAAATTAATAATTAGAGAAGAAGGAAAATGGAAACTGAAACCATATGAAGAGGTGAAAGAGTATGTTAATGATTGGTTACATTACTATCAGGTTAATGAAATGTTTAAACAAGATTTTAAAGAGAAAGGCTTTCAGGATAAAGAATCGAAGTTTCAACAAGAGATATTGAATAATGATATTAAAATTTTGTCTAAAATGTATAAATTGTTGCTTGAATGGCACTTAAAAGATGAGGAGGTCAAGTCGGTTATGATTCATTGGGTCAAAGATTTCGGGTATAATATACAGCTGAGTGATTGGGTAAAATTATGGAAAGAAGGTTTAAAATTTACTGCATGCAATGCTCTAAAAGAGAATATGATGAAAATGATGTATAGATGGTATATTACACCAGTGAAGTTAGCAAAAATGTATAAAATTAGTAATAAATGTTGGAAATGTAAGGCAAAAGAAGGAACATTTTATCACATGTGGTGGGAATGTAAGAAGGTGAAATGCTTCTGGGAGATGATATATAATGAGTTGAAAAAATGATGAAATATACATTTTTAAAGAAACCAGAAGCATTTCTCTTGGGTATTGTTGGAGATGATATAAATAGAAAGGAATGTAAGCTTTTTCTATATGCAGTAACAGCAGCAAGAATGTTATTGGCCCAAAAATGGAAGCAAGAAGAATTACCAAAGATAGAAGAATGGAGGATGAAATTAAAGGACTATGCGGAACTTGACAAACTAACAGGAAGGATTCGAAACCGGCGGGACCAGAAATTCACCGAAGACTGGAGTAAATTTACGGATTATTTGAAAAGTATTTGTGATGACCAGAAGACGTTTGTAGGCTTGCAAGAAGTTCTGTCAGGAATAAGTTAAGAAATATTGTAAAAATGTGAAAGAAGAGATGATATGTTAAAAGAGGTAATGGTAATATTAAGTTGTTGTTGTTGTTTAGTCGTTTAGTCGTGTCTGACTCTTCGTGACCCCATGGACCAGAGCATGCCAGGCACTACTGTCTTCCACTGCCTCCCGCAGTTTGGTCAAACTCATGTTTGTAGCTTCGAGAACACTGTCCCACCGTTTCATCCTCTGCCGTCCCCTTCTCCTTGTGCCCTCCATCTTTCCCAACATCAGGGTCTTTTCCAGGGAGTCTTCTCTTCTCATGAGGTGGCCAAGGTCTTGGAGCCTCAGCTTCAGGATCTGTCCTTCCAGTGAGCCCTCAGGGCTGATTTCCTTCAGAATGGAGAGGTTTGATCTTCTTGCAGTCCATGGGACTCTCAAGAGTCTCCTCCAGCACCAGAATTCAAAAGCATCCATTCTTCGGCGATCAGCCTTCTTTATGGTCCAGCTCTCACTTCCATGCATCCCTACTGGGAAAACCAGAGCTTGAACTATACGGACCTTTGTTGGCAAGGTGATGTCTCTGCTTTTTAAGATGCTGTCTAGGTTTGTCATTGCTTTTCTCCCAAGAAGCAGGCGTCTTTTAATTTCGTGGCTGCTGTCACCATCTGCAGTGAATATTAAGTTAGGAAATGTATATGAAGTGATTAAGATGGAGGATTATCAGAGGTGCTGATGGAAGTCCAACAAGATTGTATTTGTAATAAATTGTGTGGTATGTTTTCTAATTTTGTATGATAAAAAAGCAATAAAAAAAATTTAAAAAAAGAAAGTGACAAAAGAAGACAGGTGGGGACTGGCTAAGGACAGGCTGAAGCAAGCAATGCCCCACTCACCCTCAGCGAACAGTCTCCACTGCTGTGAAGTGCTGCTGCTGCTGCACATTTTCAACTGTTTCTCTTCTTTGCAGTGGTTTTGCAGGACTCCGAAAGGTTGGTGATTTATACCCCACCCATCTGGCTGGGTTTCCCCAGCCACTCTGGGCCACTTCCAACCAAATATTGAAAACAATACAGCATCAGACATTAAAAACTACTCTAAACAGGACAGCCTTCAGTTGTCCTGTAAAACTAAAATAGTTGTTTATTGCCTTGACATCTGCTGGGAGGGCATTCGACAGGGCAGGCGCCACCACCGAGAAGGCACTCTGCCTGGTTCCCTGTAACCTCACTTCTTGCAGCAAGGGAACCGCCATAAGACCCTCGGAGCTGGACCTCAGCGTCCGGGCTGGACAATGGGGGTGGAGACGCTCCTTCGGGTATACTGGACCGAGGCCGTTTAGGGCTTTCAAGGTCAGCACCAACACTTTGAATTGTGCTCGGAAACGTATTGGGAGCCAATGTAGATCTTTCAGGACCAGTGTTATATGGTTTAAGCGGCCGCTCCCAGTCACCAGTCTAGCTGTCGCATTCTGGATTAATTGCAGTTTCCGAGTCACCTTCATAGGTAGCCCCACGTAGAGCGCATTGCAGTAGTCCAACACCTAATCTTAACAGAACAGAAACCTTTAACAGGTACACAAACAGGAGTACAGCAGGTGTGCATTGCTAAAACACATAGAAGCACCCTGAGCTCGCACTCTTTCTCCTCCTCCACTGCTCCTTCCTGGTTTATAAGGGGAGGAACAAAGAGCTGTGAAAGGAGGAGTCAGAAACAAAGGAGGGGAAACACAGTTTTTCTTGGATGAGAAGAGGAGGGGAAGTGAGCACAGACAGCCTTGCTGGTTTAAAGAGCAGGATCTGATCTGCTGGGAAGTGAGAGGACGGAAGGAAATGACCATTGTGTTTGAAAATTTGTGACTCTTGCTAATAAGACTCTGGACTCAGGCAATGCTTATAAGATGGATGAACCGGCTTATTTTAGGGCATCTATCCTGTGCAGAAAAATGAAGCTGTTCTCCTCATGGTGGTGAAACAGATACCTCAATGGGATGTGCACAGGCAGGACTTGAGCTCAACAGCAGCAAATCTCTCCATCTGTGATTCCCAGAAACAAGCATTCTGGTGCGTGACTGCCACTCATGGCTCTTTAGCAATCCACAATTGTGGATTTTTCTCACAAAAGACCTCTTCTTCAGACTATTGCTGTACTCTTCCTTGGGTAAGGACTTCACTGCTTCTCCCTCAAAAACAAAACAAAAACAAAAACACACCCCACCTAAATGCATGGAGGGGGCAATCTGAGTTTGATTTGTCATGAAGAGGGAAATCATTGGCAATATTGGTTACTAGCACACAGGGCCTTCTCTCCCCAGCTTGAACCCTCCCAGAACACCCTGGCTGGCTTTAAAGGAAGCTCCAACAGAAGACTTTTGAGAGTTTAATTGTATATGTGATATTTGTTACTGAGCTGAACTTGGGAGAACCATTTGTTTATAGGATCCAGGTGATCATCTCCCCTGAAGGTGTGGGGTGGAACAGAATAAAAGCACAGGACATGCTGACAAGTTAACCTCATCTCCAGGGCAGAAATATTTTCCTGTGGGATATTTTCCTATGATGTATCAAGTTATTCACCAATATAAAATAAATGTCAGTAAGGAGGAAACCAGCATCTTAAAAACAGAGGCATCACCTTGCCAACAAAGGTCCGTATAATTAAAGCTATGTGTCAGGGAACTGACATCGGAGCCAGAGGCAGAGGCAAGGCTCTCAAGCGATGCTGGAGAAGGGCCCAGCAGGGGGAGAGGCAGCACAGCAGCTGGGGAAGGAAATCAGCGTAACACCAGGGATAAAGGGGGGCAGATGGGGGAATCGGCAAGGGGGCTCCAGGACTCCTCGCCGGAGACCAGCGGGGAGAGCACGGGTCCTCTGCTACCCACACCCTCCCTGCACAGAAGACTTCCGCGCAGGGAGAGTAGGAGGAGACTTGGGGTCAAACAGCTTTTATGCTGGAAAAGGTTTAAGGAACGCCCACTGACGGATTCTGCTAGCAACTGAGGCAGCCACGAATTGAAGGGCTGTCCAGACCGAAAAGGTTTAACAAGGCAACATAGCCAGGAGTGGCGGCAACTTACGCACGAGCAACCCCTATATTTATTACACTATGGTTTTCCCATTAGTGATGTGTGGAAGTGAGAGCTGGACCATAAAGAAGCCTGATTGCCGAAGAATGGATGCTTTTGAATTCTGGTGCTGGAGGAGACTCTGGAGAGTCCCATGGACTGCAAGAAGATCCAACCTCTCCATTCTTCAGGAAATCAGCTCTGAGTGCTCACTGGAAGGACAGATCCTGAAGCTGAGGTTCCAGTAATTTGTCCACCTCATGAGAAGAGAAGACTCCCTGGAAAAGACCTTGATGTTGGGAAAGATGGAGGGCACAAGGAGAAGGGGATGACAGCGGACGAGATGGTTGGACAGTGTTCTTGAAGCTACTAGCATGAGTTTGACTGCGGGAGGCAGTGGAAGACAGGAGGGCCTGGCGTACTCTGGTCCATGGGGTCACAAAGAGTCGGACATGACTAAATGTCTAAACAACAACAAAGAGGAAAGAGTGAATTAAAGGAGCCAATCAATGAGCAGGAAAAGGCGACTGGGGATCCTGGTGGAACAGACTCAGTTTCTTCTCTGAACTGTGTGTTAACTTATCTCATTTTAACACAAAATAGTGCATAATACGTTATTTCCTGAAACACACAAGCAGATTGTTTTTAGAATGCTGTCTTAGAATAATTTTTCACTTGGTAAGATCTTTCTGTGTTGAATTTTCAACAGACATTTTGCAAAGTTCTGATTTTGTAAGCTGCTTTGAGGTTTTAGGACAATCCAGAAGTATGAATCTTGTGAACTGAAATAGATGAACTTTTGTTCCTTGTGAGAGGAAATTCTACTTATTTTGCAGAGATTTTTCCTTGGGACAATTACACAAAGCCAGATATTCCAAAATTTCAGCACTGCAAAGCTTTAAAAGATTTCAGTGTTTAATCAATTGCTTTTTCAGACTTCACTGAAAACAGGATAATGATACTAATTTTGTTTCTATCTCTTCCCCCACCACCCTCCCCTCACTAGAAACTTTAAGCCATGCAGTGGGGAATCCAACCCATCAGCTGAAGGGAATCCTGGGAGGATCAGTCTTGTTTCCTGCCAATGTATCTCAAGGAAGAACAGTGGAGAAAATTCAGTGGGACTTTCTACCCCAAAGGGGTGGCCTGGGCTTTTGGCTGACAGAATTTAGTCATGGGAAACTGGAGCACCAAAGTCCCACTGACCAGTTTCGACAACGGCTAGACATGGTGGATGAGACAACACTGAGGATCAAAGACCTGGAGTTGGATGACAGTGGGATCTACAATGTTCGCATCTGGTTTACTAAGACACTGTTTAAAGAACAGTGTTTCAGCCTCACCGTTTATGGTAAGTTATTGCTTTCACTCTTTGACTCATGGAATAGGATGAATAGGACCCAAACCTTATGCTGTTTTCATTTGTGTTCCACAGAGCCAGTGCCAACACCACAGATACACCACCAAGTGGAATCCAAGACTCCAGGTGGATGTAATGTGACCTTGCGATGCCACACAGCTGGAAGGAAAGATCTCAGTATCTCCTGGGAAACAGGGGATCCGCACAGGGCCTTAGGAAAGAGTGTGAATCAGTACCAGGTTTCTGACAATGGCCGGGAGCTCCATATCTCCTTCTGGAACAGTTCTTTGGACCCCGAATTCACCTGCCTGGTCAGCAATCCTGTTGATCGAAAGAGAGCCTCCTTTGACTTGCTAAACATCTGCCAGAGTGATGAAGGTGAGCAATATATCCTTTCCTTCATTATCCAGAGGAGGTCCTTGTGGTGGCGAAAAGGCAGGCTAGCCCTTAACATGAGGGATTAGCAACACTTGCTTATCTATTGTTATTTATTCTACTGCTCTCAGCTGAGTGTGAGCATGAGAATCTGAATCGCGGGGTCATGAGTTTAAGCCCTGCATTGAACAAAAGATTCCTGCAATGCAGGGGGTTGGACTAGATTACTCTACTTGTCCCTTCCAACTCTACAATTCTATGATTCCGTGAGAGTCACTCTGACGATTGTTATTAGAGTATGTTTTGAGAGACTCTTATTGTTCTTTGTGTGGGATATAAAGCTGTCAGTCAAGGCCAATATTCCGAGAGGACTAACTGCCTCTATGAGGCAGGCAGTTTTGTCAGCTGGTTGGTCGGTTGCTGCAAGGAGTGTTAACTGGTAACTGCTCGGATGCAGTCTTCTCATGACTCACTACTATCTAGTATATCTGTTATGTAACCTAAGCCTGCCTTCAGGAACAACTCTGTAAACCTGAATGAATCTGATAGTAAAGTAGTCTATGTTAATATGATTCAGATTCATGTGTGTTTTCTTTAAGAGGGACAGAAAGGGATTAGCAACCAGGAAGGTATAATTATTGATAGGACTCAAACAAGTTAGCAACCTGCTTGTCGCCCACATAAATTCTGACAGGGGATCGTTTTAACTCTGCTAAATTATATAAACATTCCCACACATTGTAGGTGGACAGTTTGGACCCTCGAGTTGGAGACCATTGCTTATCTCTGCCCTCATAGTTGTTTCGGTGATAATGGTGATAATGTTGATGTGGATGGTGGTGATGCGGATGCGTGGGAAGATCAGATTAGAAAGGCAGAGGTAGGACCATCTCTATTAACTTCTTCCAAATCTCCAAAATGGGGGCTTCCTGCCAATATACCTCTACCTTTCTTTTGCTTATCCTGAGAGGCAGAGAGTGGTCAGTGCCATGGACTCAATAATGTGTCTCATTTTGCCCTCCACAGCTGTGATGCAAGAGAAAGGGGAGAGTATCCGGAGCTCAGGAGCCACCCAGAAGATGGTGACGAGGTGAGATGATCGGTGCACAAAATAATGATGGGGTGATTATTTTTATCTACCAATGAAATCATCTGATACATTTGGGAGGCGTTTATTACTTCAGTTATTATTATTAATGTTGCAATCTGTTATTCTTAAAGAAACAACAGCAACAGCAGGAACCAGTGGATTTCAAACAGGCCACTGACCTGATAATAATAATGAATGGCCATCAGTTTGGCACAACCCATCCCTTCAAACCATTTCTGCTCATCTGCAGGAGGCTTCTCTTAAAATTAACGTATTTTTCGCTCTATAAGACGCACCAGACCACAAGACGCACCTAGTTTTTGGAAGAGGAAAACAAGAAAAAAATATTCTGAATCTCAGAAGCCAGAACAGCGAGAGGGATCGCTGCGCAGTGAAAGCAGCAATCCCTCTTGCTGTTCTGGCTTCTGGGATAGCTGCGCAGCCTGCATTCGCTCCATAAGACGCACACACATTTCCCCTTACTTTTTAGGAGGGAAAAAGTGAGTCTCATAGAGCAAAAAATACAATACCTTTTGCTGGCACTGGACTCCATCCCATCCAGCCAAAATAAGTACTAGCTTCTCTCTCTTATGCTGGAAAGGCTGCGGAGAGAGGTGCTCATTTTCATGCATGGTGGAGCTCCACGTTGGTCTACTCCTTTTGGGAAAAGGTTTTTCACACTTTTTTCCAAAATTATGCAGCAATCCCCTCCACCCACATGAGCTCTTGCCTTGTTATCATTAGACTCAAATTTAAACAACAACCTTAAATGCAGAGATGGCCCTGAAGCAGCATGCCAGAGCAAGAGAGTCTTATCTCCCTCTCACTGTGTGTAAGACTCCCGTTTCTACTCCTCTCAGCTTGTCCTCCCTCCTCTTCGGATTCCTCGCTGTCTGTCAGAACGTCCCTGACATTTTCATTGAGAGAATAAACGGTATTTGGATTGAAAAAAACAAAAACAGGCCAGTGACCCAAAAAGACTTAACCAATTGATTATGGCACAAGGGGAGGCAGGCAGCTTGTGCCAAGATCCTGTTCCCATCAGGGGAACATGCACGCCCTGTTATAGTGAGCAGAATTGAACCCTCCCCTCTCCAGCTAGTGAATGGAGGATTCAGGCCTCTGGCCGCAGGGCTCTGCTTCCCACATCCTTCCCCCAGTGAACCCAACAGGATTGCGCTCTCCACTTACCAGCTGTTCTGGACTCTTCCCAAAATACTAATTTTATCATTGATAATAACTGAGTGCTGGAGAATGGAAATGACATACTTTGGTCAATTCAAAATGGGCCATTCCACCTGCTCTCTTATGGTCATAGTTATGGCAAGTTCTCCAGTGGAACTAGAAAGCTAGCCCTAAAGGCTGGGACTGAGGTGTAGGGAAGATGCCTGCTTTTAGGCAAATTGGTATCCTTTCTTGGAGAACACTGGACTTGGACAGGACTTTAATTTTCTCCAGGGTTCAGTTGGGCCCAAATGCCCAGAAATTCTTTTAGGAGTTGCATCTCCAGAGTCCCTCCTGTCATATTTTTCTCTTCCCTTCCAGGTTGACTCAGACATAGAGGATTTCGCAAGCAGTTCCAGGTCACCTTTTCCTTCTCTCAGTTCTTATGTGGTCTCAGACACAGAGCCCTCAGAGATTGAACACTGCATCCCACAGACCAGCATGGAAGATCAGGAACATCTCCTGGAGCCACTGCCAAGGAATTCACTGAGGGTCCCTCAGGGGACAGACCCATTGCTGTTCTCTCAATGCTGCCAGTTGAGCCGGAGCTACAGCCTCCCTAGCAGCCTTAAACACTGGCCCCAAAAGTCCTGTTACCAGGCCAAAGAGCAAGATACGAAGACTTATCCAGTGATTATGGAAGGGGTCTCCTTGAGAGCAAAGAGTTCCAGAAATGCCTTCATCACCAGCACCAGCCAAGAGCATCTAAGGCACTCCTCTTCAGCCTCCCTGTTGATGGAAACAGCACAGGAAAGATTGGATGAGTGAAGATACACATCAGGAACAGGGGAGGCGGAGAGATAAAACTCTGCAATGGATCAAGAAGTGCATAAAGATCTACATCAGGAAGAAGCATGGGAGCAGCACCTCCTATTTGCCAAGAGGTCCCTGCAGAGGCAACATTGCAGACCAACATTGCCAAGGAGATGGAAGAGCTGGCCTCAATGCTGATTGAACTCTGCATCCCATACACCAACCTTGCAGGTTGACTCAGACAAAGAGGAATTCTCAAGCTGCCCCATACAACCCAGGGACACCTTTCCTTCTCTCGGTTCTTATGCAGTCTCAGAAACAAAGCCCTTGGAGACTGATTGAACACTGCATCCCACAGCCCAATATGGGAGATCAGGCACATCTCCTGTAGCCACTGCAATGAAGTGAATTGAAGACCATTGAAGATCTCTCAGCTGCCGGAGCTACAGGCTACCCAGCAGCCTTCAACACTGGCCCCAAAGGTCCTGTTAGCTAGGCCAGAGATCAACATACCCAGACTTACCCAGTGACTATGGATGGGGTCTCCTTGAGAGCCAGAAATTCCAGGAATGGCTTCATCACCAGCTGCAAGCAGTATATAAGGCAATCCTCTTGAGCCTCCGTGTTGCTGGAAACAATACAAGCCTGTTATAAGAAAAAGAAAACTGCTCCTTTTCCTTATGGGAAACCCAAGAGCCCATATAGAGTCCTTTGTAGGTTCTCTATCAGTAGGAGAAAATAACAGAGGCCAACCAGAGAATATAGAGAAGCAAAGCAGCTAGTAAGCCTGATCTTTATTCACTGTTGCAACAGGGTTCTCCCCTCACACGCAGGAAGCAGGTGGGACCGCGAACCATGCACACAAGCCCTTGTATAGACATTTTCAAATTGCCCACCCTGGAGCCCAAGACCCCCCTCCAATACATCATACATACATCAGAGAAGGGAAGGTCTACAACAGAATCCTGTCTGACACAAAACCTCTGATGGGTCACAGTCTCACCCTATTCATACACAGACACACCCTTAAGGCAGGATTTGTGAACAAAGAGACAATGGGGAGGCTTTTCCATTTCCTTCCTCAGTGCAGAGAAATATTTGAAGTGATTGAAAGAGTCAAAATGGCTTTAGGACTGTTTTCCTGTACTGTTTCCAGACATGCGGTTTATATATTTATGTATGAGTTTGCCTTGTACAGTTTGGAACCTTTATTTTATATATATAATGCTTTAAAATTCCTATAACGGGTCTCTGGTTCCTTAAACCCAGGCGCCTTAAAATAATAACTATTATTTATTATTTATACCCCATCCATCTGGCTGGATTTTACCAGCCTTGCCTTGCCTTGCCAATCTTTTCCTATTTAGCTTGGACTCTGGTTAGTGCTTTTTTAAATTCAAGAAGAAAAATACAGTGACTACGGCACCGCCTCTCCTGGCCTGCGGAATCATAGAATCATAGAGTTGGAATAGACCACAAGGGCCATCGAGTCCAACCCCCTGCCAAGCAGGAAACACCATCAGAGCACTCCTGACATATGGTTGTCAAGCCTCTGCTTAAAGACCTCCAAAGAAGGAGACTCCACCACACTCCTTGGCAGCAAATTCCACTGTCAAACAACTCTTACTGTCAGGAAGTTCTTCCTAATGTTTAGGTGGAATCTTCTTTCTTGTAGTTTGGATCCATTGCTCCATGTCCGCTTCTCTGGAGCAGCAGAAAACAACCTTTCTCCCTCCTCTATGTGACATCCTTTTATATATTTGAACATGGCTATCATATCACCCCTTAACCTCCTCTTCTCCAGGCTAAACATGCCCAGCTCCCTTAGCCGTTCCTCATAAGGCATCGTTTCCAGACCTTTGACCATCTTGGTTGCCCTCCTCTGGACACGTTCCAGTTTGTCAGTGTCCTTCTTGAACTGTGGTGCCCAGAACTGGACACAGTACTCCAGGTGAGGTCTGACCAGAGCAGAATACAGTGGCACTATTACTTCCCTTGATCTAGATGCTATACTCCTATTGATGCAGCCCAGAATTGCATTGGCTTTTTTAGCTGCCGCGTCACACTGTTGGCTCATGTCAAGTTTGTGGTCAACCAAGACTCCTAGATCCTTTTCACATGTACTGCTCTCAAGCCAGGTGTCACCCATCTTGTATCTGTGCCTCTCATATTTTTTGCCCAAGTGCAATACTTTACATTTCTCCCTGTTAAAATTCATCTTGTTTGTTTTGGCCCAGTTCTCTAATCTGTCAAGGTCGTTTTGAAGTGTGATCCTGTCCTCTGGGGTGTTAGCCACCCCTCCCAATTTGGTGTTGTCAAGGCTGCCTCAAGTCTCAGCTCACAAAAGACCAACGCCTATGTCTTCTTATATACAAAAGTGTTTATTGCAGTTCATTGTTTGCTTGACATCCTAGGCGCGCAGCCTTACGTCTGCTACGCTTAGACCGCTGAAGTCCCCTCTGAATCCGTCCCTCCCCTACACCAATTCTAAGAGGCTTACGCTGCTCCACCTCTTTCTCTCCTTCCTTTCCGCAGGGTCCTTCTGCCCGCTGGGGTTTCGCCCCTCCTGGATTCCTCTGACGCGGAATCAGACTGCTCTTCCCCCCCTCCTGCGGGCTTTGGGACCTGGCCCCTCCTCCGGGCTCCCTGTACTTCCGCGCGCCTCTACATTTGAACTTGGCGCGCGGGCCAAACCTCTAACTTTCCTTTTGACAGTTATACTACTCCCTTCACTGCTCCCCTCCCCTTCCGGGAGGGCGGCTTGCTCTGACCTCCCTCCTTTCTCTGCTGCCGGAGCTGCTTCCCCTGACACACTGGAAACTCCACCCCCTTCGCTGCACTCTGGTGGGGAAGCTGGTCCTGAAGCCCAGCTGCCACTTTGGGATCCTCCGCTGGCCCCCTGCTCCTGACACGTCCCCCCTGGGGCTCCCCTGGCCTTGACCACCTGCGCCCCTTCTGGGAATCCTCTGATTCGCTGGAAAGACTCATGGAATCTCTTGAGTCATTGTCATCCTCTTCCTCGCTGGCTTGGAATTCATCCCCATCGCTCTCCATCTCCTGCCTACCCTGTGCCTCTCTCCCTGAACCCCTGACAGGTGTCATCTGCAAATTTGATCAGGATGCCCTTGAGTCCATCATCCAAGTCGTTGATAAAGATGTTGAATAAGACCGGGCCCAAGACAGAACCCTGTGGCACCCCACTAGTCACTCTTCTCCAGGAAGAAGAGGAACCATTGATGAGCACCCTTTGGGTTCGGTCAGTCAGCCAGTTACAAATCCACTGAGTGGTAGCATAGTCAAGACCGCATTTTACCAGCTTCTTTACAAGAATATCATGGGGCACCTTGTCAAATGCCTTGCTGAAATCAAGGTAGGCTACATCCACTGTGTTCCCTTCATCTACCAGGCTTGTAATTCTGTCAAAAAACGAGATCAGGTTAGGACCATAAGGTCCACAAATGACAACACTTTGAAGGTTCCAAGTCACAAGGTGGTTAGGTTGGTCTCAACTAGGGCCAGGGCCTTTTCAGCACTGGCCCCGACTTGCTGGAATGCTCTGTCACAAGATACTGGGGCCCTGCATGACTTGACATCTTTCCACAGGGCCTGCAAGACAGAGCTGTTCCGCCTGGCCTTTGGTTTGGACTCAGTCTGACCCTTATGTTTCCCTCCCTGAGAGCCAGTGTGGTGTAGTGGTTAAAAGCGGTAGACTTGTAATCTGGGGAACCGGGTTCGCGTCTCCGCTCCTCCACCTTCAGCTGCTGGGTGACCTTGAGCTAGTCATGCTTCTCTGAAGTCTCTCAGCCCCACTCACCTCACAGAGTGTTTGTTGTGGGGGAGTAAGGGAAAAGGAGAATGTGAGTTGCTTTAAGACTCCTTTGGGAAGTGATAAGGCAGGATATCAAATCCAAACTACAACTCCTACTTCTCCTCCTCCTCCTCCTCCTCCTCCTCCTCCTCCTCCTCCTCCTCTTCTTCTTCTTCTTCTTCTTCTTCTTCTTCTGGTTTTGATCTGTGGGCTACTTTTAAAATGAGGCAGCATTTTAAATTGTATTTTAACCTGTACAGTGGTACCTTGGGTTACATACGCATCAGGTTACAGACTCCGCTAACCCAGAAATATTACCTCGGGTTAAGAACTTTGCTTCAGGATGAGAACAGAAATTGAGCAGCTGCGGCGCAGCGGCAGCGGGAGACCCCATTAGCTAAAGTTGTGCTTCAGGGTAAGAACAGTTTCATGTTAAGAACAGACCTCCGGAACGAATTAAGTTCTTAACCCAAGGTACCACTGTATTTTAATTTTAATTTTTTTTCCTATTGTGGTTTTATTGTAATTGTACTTGTGTTAGCTGATCTGAGCGCGGCTCTGGCCAGGGAGGGCGGGGTATAAATAAAAATTCTTATTCTTATTCTTATTCTTACTACTACTAGAGGGGTGGGCAGGGCTGATCCAAGACATTTTGGCATCTGAGGCAAACCCCAGGGGCAATGGTGGTATTGTTCTGTGATTGCTGGTTCCATAAGGTGATTCAGGGCTTATTCACACCCCTGGCTTATCAACACTTCCTGCCAGAGCAGTACTATTTATCTACTTGCACTTTGACGTGCTTTCAAACTGCTAGGTTGGCAGGAGCAGGGACCAAGCAATGGGAGCTCACCCCATCGCGGGGATTCGCATGGTGTCCAGAACTGAACACAGTATTCCAGGTGTGGTCTGTCCAAGGCAGAATGGAGCATGACTACTCCTTTCCTTGATCTAGACCAGTGGTGGCCAAACTTGGCCCTCCAGCTGTTTTTGGACTACAACTCCCATCATCTGTAGCTAACAGGACCAGTGGTCAGGGATGGTGGGAATTGTAATCCCAAAACAGCTGGAGGTCCAAGTTTGGCCACCACTGATCAAGACAGTATAATTCTGTTGATGAAGCCTAGAATAGCATTGGCTTTTTTTTTGCTGCTGCATCACACTGTTGACCCTGTTAAACATGTGATCTACTACGGCCCCTAGATCTCTT